CTGCTTTGGTTTGTTTGGATTCTAAATAAAATGACTTTACAAGAAGCCAGAGAACCAACCTCTCCTTGACCTCCCCAAGGACTGTGGGGGTGCAGTGGCCAGGCCTGGTTCCTGCAGCAGCCAAATGCGTGGGGCCCGAAGGCAGGCCCAGCAGCCAGGGGTATTCTCGAGAGGCTGTGGTTGTGGGCCTGGGTCCTAAGCCCTGGGCTGGAAATGACCTGCAGCCCCCTGGTGGCCCCACACTGCTGCCTGCGGTTACTGCACTGATGTCACCTAGGCCTCTGACAGGTTCTGTGCAGCTGAAAAGCCTGGCGCAAGCTGGATTCAGAGCTGGATAGCGTCATCAGGACAAAGGTCCGAGTGAAACTTGGCCTGACTGGTCACCGAGGCCAGAGCCTGTATGACCCCATCAGGTGGGGGACAGGTGCACCCCAGAGACCAGCCAGAGCCTGCAGAGCCTGCACACCTCGTCTGCCTCCTGCTCCACGAATGCACTGCAGCCTGGGTGCCACAGTACAGCCGTCACGGCCGGCCCAAAATTTTGTTTGTTTTTTTTTAACATGAATGATTTTCCTACATTAAAATGGAAGGTTTCACCCAACTGTCTTAATTTCTGGCTTTCCTTAAACCTGACCTCGGGGAGAGGGGCAGCGCAGGGCCAGTGAGGGGCCACTCAAGATTCTCAACTGGATTTGAGCCCAGTCTACGTGTGGCAAACACACCTGTCCCCTCTCCTGCCTAGGCCTTGTTCCAGGCACCTCATGGCCCCACTGCATTACAGGTGACTCAGCTCAAGAGCATCCCCAGGTGTTCTTGGACCCCCAAGGGTGCGACCCTCCCCAGGCACTTTGCCAGCACCGAGGCCAGGCCACCCGCCTGTGTTTTTAGCTTGTAGGCACCCCCTGCTAAGACCTGGGGATGTGCAGCTTCCCCTCACCTCGTCTTGCAGAAGCATTTCCTGAGGGGGAGGCTGAGAAGCTGCACCTTGAGGGTAATGAGGGAGCAGCTGTCACCCACAGTATAAACCCAGCCTGTGTTTCCTGTTTCCTGCGAGCCCAGCAAGTGGATGGCAGCCTCCAGAATGGCAGTGGAAGGGAAGGGCCTCCTGGGGCCCAGGAGCTACTGGCCTGCACAAGAAGGCCCTGGTGTCAGCAAACCAGGAACTGCTTCTGGCCACGCCCACTTCTTTACCTGTGTCTGGCTGTTTATGAGCTGCAGCTTCAGTACTAATTGCAACCTGGGGCATCTAACCCAAAAAATAAGAAATACTTAGTCTGGTCAACTTCTGTCCTAGTTGTGCTGGCACCCACTGCCACCCTCCTCAGTCTTGTCAGTTCATCCTCTCCTCTCGCTTGGACCTCTTCCCTGTCCTCACTCCACCACTGCTGCCGAACTGTCTGAACTTAGTGACATAGAGCCACTGCCAGTTTATGCTTAGCTTCTGTGGGTCAGGAATCGGGTGGCCTGTCCCCTCTTCACCACATCTAGGTAACTGGAACCGTGGGGCCTGGGGTCGTGTGGAGGCATTCAAGTTGGGTGCCTGGGTTGGGCACATGGCCCCACATCCATCACCAGGGCTTCCTCTCAGTAAGGCGGCATAGGCTCCAAGCTGAGGGTCCCAGGAGCAGAGCCATTTCCGAGCAGCCTTGGAGGTCACACCATGCCACTTTGCTTCACATGACTGGTCAAAATAGGCACCAGCCCAGCGAGATTCAAGGAGAGGGGACACACCCTACCTCTTGATGGGAGCATATCCAAGAACCGGTGGTTCTAAAACCACCACAACCTGCCCTCCTCCTCCTCAGACTGTACTCCACATGATTTTCAAAAGAGGTTTTGCACACATGAATCTGATTATAGTATCTGAGACCTCCAGTTTCACATCATCTCTACTGACCAAGCCAAGGACAAATGGCTTCAACATTCGGAAACCCAGTGCTCCATGTGCTCTCCCTCCCAGGAGCCCGCTCACAGTTTTCCCTGCCCCTCTTCCCCCCACAGGTGTGTATCTCCTAAACTCGAAGGGACCCCACGAGACTTGCAACCAGGGGAGCAATGGGCAGCGGCAGCTCATCCTGGGCTAACTCCCTAACCCTGTATCTCCAAGGCTCACTTCTCTCCGAGTTCTGGAGAGCCAAAGCAGCCCCTCCTGGGCTCTCGCCTGTTGCTTCTTCTATCTTAAGCCCTTCCTTGTTTCATTGGCTCCAGCTTTAATAAATGTACTTTCAAATAAAAATAAAAATAAAAGAACTCCAGTGTTCTAAGCTGCAAATGGAGATAATAGAGCTGTACAGTTAAATTTGAATTTCAGATAAACAACGAAGTGTTTAACTATAGGGGTATCACATGCAACATTTGGGACATACTTATACAAAAAAAATTATTCGTTAACTATCCGAAATGCAAATTTAAACAGGTACACTCAACATTTAGTTGCTAAATCTGACCATCCTGATACTAATAGAATCTACTTTCTGGGATTGTTAGGATTAAACAAAATGGGACCTGTGAACACATGCTATAAATATGATTTTTTTTAACTTCTTGACTCTGAGAAGAATATATCTGCCAAGAAGGACTCCTTGTGGTAAACTGGGCCCAAAATCATAACCAGAGTTGAGCAACCATTGTTTGCGGAAGTCCCTCGTGAATGCTGCATATCCGGAAAAAGCCACAAACTGGACTGCCAGCCTTGTACACTGTACTCCTGCCACTGTGTGAGCTGACCTTATAAGCAAGCTCCTAGGATCAAGATTTCACTGATAGGCTCTGGTTGGTGTGGTTCAGTGGATTGAGCGCTGGCTTGCTAAACCAAAGTTTCGCTGGTTTGATTCCTTGTCAGGGCATGTGCCTGGGTGGCAGGCCAGGCCTCCAGTAGGGAGTGCATGAGAGGCAACCACACAATGTTTCTCTCCCTCTCTTTCTCCTTTCCTTACCCTCTCTCTAAAAATAAGTAAAATCTTTTTAAAAAAATTTTCACCAGTAGGCTGAAGACCTGCCCTCCAATAAGAGCTGTGCAGCTATAATCTCATTTACATATTTACCAACCAATTAGAGTGGCTTCAAGTAATCAGGACAGTGCCTTTTGGGCCAATCAAATTCTGAAGGTTTGGAGTCTCATTTGCATAAAAATGGATGAATCAGGGACCAGGATTGGGAACTTCTCTATATATGGCAGCCTCCCCTGTTTTGATGGAGCTCACTTTCAGTTCCTGATGGAGACTGATTCCCACACTGCAGCTGAACAGAGCTCTCTTGCTAGGGCTGAGAGCTCTGAGCTGGGACACGAGAGCTATAACGTTGGACCACCTCACCCAGTCTGGGCTGGCTGGGCTGTTTCACGGCTGTATTGTATCATAATTTAGTTGTCTCACAGCCAAACCTTCCCGCTGCCATGCTATATCACAATTAAACTGTTTGCTCCAAATAAATTCTCCCTTCACCCCAATTTGGGGATTTCTATTGGTGTTGAATTGGGACAACCTTTGGTAGATAAACTCATCCCTAGCCTCACACACCCGACTGGGTGAAGATAGAACTCCAGAGCCTCATACTGTCAAATCAGAGAATAGGTGGTGACTTGCTTCCAGAGCCCCAACACATGGGTGAATTCGCCTGTCATTTAGTATAAATTTTTCTGCCTCTTCTCTTCTAATTGCCATGATCCCTTCAGTAGCAAAGGACAAAATGCCCAACTCAAAATGACTTAAGCAAAAAGGAAATTCATTGGTTTCTGTGTCTGACAAGGCTGGGGGTTTCAGGCACAGCAGGATCCAGGCATTGGTTCTGTCCAGACTCTGTCTCCCCCAACCTGTGGTCAACAGAATAACAGCCCCAAAGATGTCCATTCCTTGATCCCAGAGTCTATGCCTCTAGAAGCTGGGAAAGGAAGGAACTGATTCTCTCCTGGGCCCCCCAGGGAAATCAGCCCTGCATACACCTGGGTGTGGCCCAGTGAAGCCCACTCACTACTTCTAGCCTCCAGAACTAAGAGGATAAGTCTGTGTGGTTTCAGGCACCGGATGTGAGGCAATTCATTAATGTGTTAAAGCTGCACGAGGAAACTAATGCCCCCAAGCTCAGCTTTCTCTGTGTGGGCCTCATTTTCAGGGGGACTCCTCTCACTTTGGGGCCACCCCCAGGCTGACCAGGCTGACGTCCTTCCAGCTCCAAGTCCAGCTGAGAATGAGGGCTGCTCCAGGCAGGACTCCATGCAGCTGAGCCGGCGAGGGCTCAGATTTGTGGCTGTGCCCCCAGTGTTCATAGCGCACGAGTGTTCGTGCCATCTTTATCCAGAACAACGAAGATTGGAAACAGCCCAAATATCCGTGGAGTGATGAACAGATGAACAAGATGTGGTCCAACCATATAATGGAATATGATTCAGCCTTAAAAAGGAAGGAAATGCTATCACCTGCTATAGTGCGGATGAGCCTTGAGGATATCATGCTCAGTGAAATAAGCCAGACACAGAACAAATACTGTGAGGTTCTACCGGAGAGACAGGAAATAGGTGGTGGGAGCCAGGGGCTGGGGGAGGGCAGTCAGTGTTTACTGGGGTCAGTGTCAGCTTGGGAAGGTGAGAAAGCTCTGGAGATGGATGCTGGGGTTGGCTGTATGACAGTGTGAATGTGCTGAATGCCACTGAGCTACACACTAAAGATGGTTAAGGTGGTACACGTTATGTTATCTGTATTTTGCTACAATAAGAAACAGGGCAAAGAAAACAATCGTGTTAAAACTACACACACACACACGTGTGTGAGATAGGGGTGGAACATGACAGGATATGAGATGAGGAGGAGGAATTTTTGTTGATTTTTCAGGTGTGATGCATAATGTGGTTTTTCTCTCCAGAGAGCCTGTGTCTTTTAGGGGGACTTTTCTGAAATGCTTCTGGGTGAAGTAGAACCAGCCAGGGGTGGCGTGAGTGCTGCGGGGTGTGGAGCTGTGAGGGTTCCCTCCCCCATAGGAAGGGGTGGGTGGGGTGTGGAAGGTGTTGGAGGCCCAGGCAGTATGTGCGGCTCAGCTCCCCAGCACCATGGAGGCCCTCTTCTCTCTGCTGCTGCTGCTGCTGCTGGCCCCGGAGGCCCTTTGGGCAGGTGAGTAGGAGCGAAGCAAGGGGGGAAATGCCCAAAGTTTAGGCCCCTGGACATTCATGGGTGGGTGTCAGAACGGAGATTGGAAATAAGTTCACTGTCCCCAGAAGGGGACCGATGGGAGAAATGTCAGCTGCTCCAAAACGGAGGTGAGGCCCGGGCAGGGGCCCCGAGGAAGAGGTCAGGTCACATCAGGGCAGGCATTTTAAGTTTTTCTCATTTAAAAAAAATTTTTAATTGATTTTAGAGAAGAATGGGGGGAGAGAAATCAATCGATTTGTTGTTCCACTTATTTATGCATTTATTGGTTGCTTCTTGTATGTGCCCTGACTGGAAATTTAAACAACAACCTTGGCTTAACAGGTCGACACTCTAACCACTGTACTACCCAGCCAGGGCCCCTAGATTTCTCAATTGTAAATATGTTGGCCCAGTTGTCTTATCACCCTTGCTGGTCATAAGGGTGGTAACAAATATATATGTTATTTATCAGAGCCAATGGAGAGTAAGCTTCAGGCACACTGCCCCTCATTCCTAAATGCCATGGCATGTTTTCTGCGAACAAGGACATTCTCTACACAATTATAGCAGATTCTCAACATCGTGCATTCATACAGTGCTATTAGCTCATCTACAGCTCTTATTCAAAAGTTCCTGCAGTGTCCTTTGAGGGAACAAACCCAGCGGGGTGCATCTGGTCTCCTCTTTCACCTTAAGGACAGTTTCTTCACTTCCCCCTGGGTGTTGTGACACTGGCGTTTGTGATGCCTGAGGGCCTGCCTGCTGTGCCCCCAAGGTCAGGTTCACCTTGCGTATTTCCTGCCGCACCACTGAGGGTTCACCCCTGCTCCCTAGCGCCATTACCTTGATCACTTGGTGAAGTCTACATTCACCCGATTGCTCCAGGGTAAAAATCACCAATTTCCTCTTGTAGTTGTCTTTAGGGGAGACTTTGGGGCTCTGAGGATATCCTGTGCCCCTCGCACTTCACCCTGGAGCTGGATACGCAGAATACCACAGAACTGGGGCAGATGCAGGCTCTTTGCCTGCTGGCAGCATCCAGGAGGCAGGGTCCTTATATACGTACGTACATAACCCTGGGCTGCAGAGTAGGAAACCATGACCCAGCGAATGAAGTGACCTGTCCGGATTGCCTGGCTGGGAAGCACGGAGCTGGAATTTGAGCCTCTGCTATTGGCCTCCCCAAATCATGCGTACCTGGCCAGGGCTGGATGACTAGGAGCTTGAGCTAGAAGGTGGTGGGTGATGGACATCCCAGAATTTTGGCTAGGCTGGATAAGAATGGCTCTGTGATAAATCAGGGACCCAGCACTGTAAGTATCCAGCCACCTATCCATCAATCTTTCTCTGCCTTCCATCCATCCATCATCCATTCATACATTCATCATTCATCAGTCATCCATCTATTTTCCATCTATCATTTGTTATTTTTCAGCCATCCATCAGTATTTGCTGAGCACATACTGTTCAGGCCTGTTGTAAACAAGACAGGCACAGGGCCCGCCCTCAGGAATTAGCGGGGACGGGCAGTCCATGAGCACGCCTGCCTGCGATACAATGTCACGGAGGGCGAGTGCCAGGAAGAGAACAGAGCAGAGTGGGGGGGCGGGGGGGTTATGTTAAGGAAGTTGGTGGGGTGGGGGTCTCTGGGGAGAGGGCTTTTGAGCAGACACACCCAAGCCAGACATGGGAATGTCTGCAGGAAAGGCTGCCAGAACAGCCTGTGCGAAGCCTTCGTGGCGGCAGTGCAGGCAGCGCAGCGGAGGAGCAGCCAGGAGGCCAGGGGGCGAGAGTGCAGTGGGGAGGCATGAGGAGGAGGCCGCTATTCACGTGGCTCTTGTGGCTCACAGAGAGTTTAGATGTTTAAAGCATGAAGCGGAATTGTAGGAAGATTTTCAACTGATTTACATTTAAAAACATTTTATTAATCTTTTAAAATTTATGATTGATTTTAAAACAATTTTAGAACATTTTTATTGAGATATAATGCAAACACCATACAATTCACCCCTTTAAAGTGTATAATTCAATGGGTTTTAGTACATTCAGAGTGTTAGGCAACCAGCACCTCTATCTAGTTCCAGGAAGTTCCATCATCCCAAAAAGCAATCCCATCCCCGTTCACAACTACTCCCCACTCCCTCCTGTGGCCCCTGGCATCCGTTAAGCAACCCACTTCCTGCCTCTGTGGGTTTCCCTGTTCTGGACATTTCACATAAATGGGATCACACACTATGCAGCCCTTTGTGTCTGATTTCTCTCACTGAGTGTCACGTGTTCAAGGGCCATTGAAGCTGTAGGTAACGACGGTGCTCCACCCCTTTTCGTGGCTGAGTAATATTCCAGTGTGTGAATATATCACCTTTTCTTTATCCATTACCTGTTTCTGGATATGTGGGCTGTTTCCATTATTTGCCATTGTGAATCCAACCACTGTGAATATGTGTGCACAAGATTTTGTGGGTATGTGTTTTCACTCCTCTTGGAGGGTCGTTGCTGGGTCGGTGGTAACTGTTTAACCTTTGAGGAACTGCCAGATTGTTTCCACAGTGGCAGCACCATTTGACATCCCAGGGAAGGGATGTGATGGTCCAGTTTCTCCACCTTAAACAGCTCCTCTAGCTGCTGTAATAGGGGCTGCGCTGTGATGACCAGGGGAGTCCCGGTGGGGCCCAGGAGCGAGGGAGAGGGATGTGTGAATTCGAGCTGGTCACCTGCTGGTGACCAGGACATAGGGTAAAGGATGGAGAAGGATCAAAGACAGTCCCGCTTGCTGACCTGAACATCTCAGGGAACAGAGGGCACTGCATTAAGGTTGAGGCCCCTCGGCCGCAGTGGGGATGGGACACCTGGCCCTAACCTGGAGCTCTGTTCCTCTCCCCAGGAGGTGACACACTGGAGGCCCACATTATTGGGGGTCACGAGGCTGTCCCTCACTCCCGTCCATACATGGTCTTGCTGCAGAAAGATGATGGCTCCTACCTGTGTGGGGCGGTCCTTGTGAACCACTGGTGGGTATTGACAGCTGCTCACTGCATTGTCCATCCGTAAGTAACCCTAACCTGCCCTCCCCCTCTGTCACCCTAAGTGTCCCCGATTCTATCCCAGGTTTCCCATTCTCACCAGGAGGTGGATCCTGACAGACTTAAGCCAATTGTAGGGTACAGGGGTGCCCCCTTCCCTCTCCTGTGATTGCTCTGGTGTGTGTACGTGACATCAACCTTGGGCATGCCTAAGTGCCATTGCACTGAAGGGTTCCTAGGGAAACTTTACTTGCCACAGCAAAGCGCCTTCCACTTGGGCAGAGTTTGGGCCTCTTGGGACACCCAGGAATGTGTCTCTCATTGTGGCCGTGGGAATAGCGCTGGTCTGTGAGGGTGGCAGGACCAACCTAGGAAGCCACGAAATGAATTGATTTTGAAGCTGCCCTCTCTGGACTACACAGTAATAAAGACCCCAGATCAAACTGGTCAAAGTAACCAAAGGCTATCTCTTTGGCTCATGTGAAAGAAAAGTCTAGGAAGACATAACAGGCACAACTTGATCCAGGTGCTTGCCTGAGCTGGTCGGGAGCCTGCCTGTCTCTCAGCTCTTCTGTCATGTCCCATGGCCACATTATCAGGAAGGTTCTCACATGGTGGCCAGTTTGGACCCCCTTAGATCCTGTGGCCATGGGATCTAAAGAAAGAGTTTGTTTCTTTATAGTTCGGGCAAAGCTGTGAGGATCAGTACTGATGGGCCCAGCCTAGGTCACGTGCCAGCCTTAGAACAAATCAGTATGGCTGAGGCATAACATATGCACTGGGTGAGGCTGGAGCCCCGCACAGGGGAGCTCCAGGCTGGAGGTCACCATTTTTGGATACACACAGCCCAGCCTCTGGCCAGAGATAAACTGGAGTCTGGGGCAGGGGTTGGAGCAGGGACAGCTTCCTGGATGAGGTGGGGAGGAGGCAGGTGAAAAGGAGCAAAGGAAGGCCCAGCCATAGAGAGGCCAGGTAAGGGAGCCAGCTGTGGGGCAGGGCTGGGACGGGGGAGCAGTGAAAATCTCTTGACCTTGAGTCAGACTTATGGACCCTGGAGGCAGAGCTTGGGTGTGTGGAGGGGTCCCCAAGCTGCAGGATGGCAGCACACACCCTGATTCTGCTGCCCACAGGATGGAACAGCTGAGACTAAGGCTGGGGATCCATGAGTTTGAAGACGATGTCCTCAGCTTAGAAGTCAAGAAAGCAGTTCTGCACCCTGACTACAAGCCACCCCCCGCTCTGCTGAATGACCTCGCTCTGCTTAAGGTGTTGGGGCAGATGGGAGGAGTGGCAGCTGCACCCAGGCCCCCCTCTCTCACTGTCTGTCTCCCACTGTCCCTCACTCAGCTGTCCCTTCTTGTAGATGGAGCGTAAGGTGACTTTCAACAAGACTGTCAAGGCCCTGGGCTTACCCAGAAAGCACCAGGCAGTGGCGACAGGAGCAAAGTGCAGTGTGGCCGGCTGGGGGCTGACCCAGCTTGGGCACATGGCGGAAGCACTACAAGAGCTGGACATGCGTGTGCTGGATGCCAGGATGTGCAACAACAGTCGTTTCTGGAATGGTAACATCACCCCCAACATGATCTGCCTGGAAGCCAACTCCAAGAACAAGGGCCCCTGCAAGGTAAAGGGGCAGCAGTGGGGCAGGCCAGGACAGATTAGCCTGAGGCGAGGGCATCAGCCTATGTCCAGGACAACCTGGCAAACCCCAACTCTCCCTGGGCCCCAACTCTGCCCATTCTCTGGGGGATCCTGGAGATTGGTACTAGCATTAGTCCATTTCCCAGGTATAGAAACTGAGGCACAGAGAAGTTAAGTGACTTGCCCAGGGCCACATAGTCAGGGAGCAGCAGAGATGGGATTTGAACTCTAGCACCAAAGATGATCACAGCATGTACAAAGGTCCTGGAGTGGAAAGAAGAAGCAGAGTGTTAAAAGGACAGGAAGGAAGGAAGGAAAAAGGGAACGGAAGAGGTTGGGAGGGGAGTAAGGAGATGTGTGTAGGCAGATGTGGGACTGCGGGGGGTCTCTACCCTGGAACCACCCTCCCGGCCCCGGGGATAAAGGCTTTCTTCAGCAGGCACTGAGGGTAACCTGTGCCCCCTGGTCTCCAACAGGGGGACTCAGGCGGGCCCCTGGTGTGCCGCAAAGGCCAGGTGGCTGGAATCCTGTCCTTCAGCTCCAAAACCTGCACTAACGTCTTCAAGCCCCCTGTGGCCACTGCTGTGCCCCCCTATGTGTCCTGGATCAAGAAGATCATCAAGCACTAGCCGGGCTGCGCCTCAGGCCTGATGCTTCAGAGGTGATCCCTACTCCCTTGCTTGTGGGACCCTCCCCCACAGAACTATGGGGAGGAACAGAAAGGGGACTGGCCACAGCTCAGAGGACAAATAAATTGTAATAAAGAAACTGTAGGAGTCCTGCCTGGATTCTGAACCCACTTCTGCCATGCTGCCTGTGAGGCCTTAGGCAAGCCTCAGTTTCCCCACTTATAAAACAGAGGTTGCACTTTTGAGGCTGCTGAAGGCAGCCCAGCAGCAGGCGAGGGCCGGCTTCTCCCAGGAGGGGCTCTGGGGCAAGGCCCAGAGGATGGCAGGGCATGGCTTCAGCCAGGGCTAGGAGCCACAGCCAGAGTTTGGCTGGCAGGCAGGGGATGTGCTGGGTGCTGGGGGATGGGGTGGGGTCACTGAACAGAAACATCCCAGAACCTTCTTCCTTTTATTTTTTTGGTAATATGTTTACAATCTTGGGATATAATTCTCATGCCTTACAATTCATCCATTTAAATTGATTCATCCATTCACCCATTCAGTAGTTTTTAGCATGTTCACAAGGTTATATAACTGTCACCTCTGTCTAATTCCAGAACATCCCATCACCCCAAAGAGCAAGCAGCATTGTCCCCACCAAAAATCACCTCCGGCCCCCTCCCCAGCCCCTGACACCCGTGAATACACCCTCTGTCTCTGCGGATGTGCCTGTTCTGGACACTCCACATAAATGGGTCACATGCCGGTTGCCTTTTGTGTCTGGCTTCTCCGAGCATCACGGACCATCCGCGCTGCAGCGAGTGTCAGCACCTCACTCCTTGTCGTGGCCGAGCGGCATTCCAGTGTATGGACGGCCACGCTCATCCCTTAACGGGCATTTTGGTTGTGTTCACCTTTGGCTATTGTGAATATACTGCCATGGACACAGGTGCACTTGTACTTGTGTGGATGCCATTTCATTTCTCTTGTGCGGGCACCGAGGGTGAAATTGCTCGGCCATACAGTGGCTCTGTGTAACTTTCTGAGACACTGCTGTTTTATAGCAGAACCTTTGTATTATGAAAATTCTGTGCCCTCGCTGGTGTGGATCAGTGGATTGAGTGCCAGCCTGTGAACCAAAATGTCACTGGTTCGATTCCCAGTCAGGGCACCTGCCTGGGTTGAAGGCCAGGTCCCCAGTTGGGGGTGTGTGAGAGGCAACTGATCGCTGTATCTCTTGCATATGGATATTCCTCTTCCTCTCTTTCTCCCTCCCTTCCCTTCTCTCTGAAAATAAATAAATAAAATCTTTTAAAAAAAAATTGAAGAAGAGAGAATACTCCCAAACTCATTTAAAAAGAAAGAGAGAGAGAGGAAGGGAGGAAGGAAGGAAAGGAGGAAGGACGCTAGATCTGTAACACACGGCAGAGTTGAAACAGCGGCACAATGAGCACTTAGGTGACTCACCCCCACTGGTCCTCTGTCCACCTCTCCGTCCAGCTCATCTGCCGATGCATTTGCATTTCGCAGCACAGCTCCACAAACACTTCAACAGGGTTTGGGTCCCCCATCTCCCCTTGTCTCTCCCTGTCTCTCTCTCACATACAATGAAATGCATGTATCTAAGTGGATGACTTGCTGTTTTGACAAGAGCTGACAAATGTTTGTAATCCAAACCCTAGCCCAAGGAGACTCCACTGCCCATTGCAGTCTTGTCTAAAATTTAGTTTTTGCATAGTTATTACTACATATAGGAAGTTTACCCTGGAGAAAGATAGTTTCCCACTGTCACCCATTTTCACCCAGGAGGCAAGTCTTATGTCTTCATCCAAGGCATCTGGGCAACATATTTACAGGTTTGTTTGTTTTTTAAAGATGTTATTGCCCTGGCTGGAGTGGCTCAGTGGGTTGAGCACCTGCCTGTGAACCAAAGGGTCACAGGTTCGATTACCAGTCAGGGCGCATGCCTGCTTTGTGGGCCAGGTTCCCAGTTGGGGGCACAGAAGAGGCAACCACACACTGATGTTTCCCTTGCTAAAAAAAAAAAAGATTTTTTAAAATTTATTTTTAGAGAGAGGGGAAAGGAGGCAGAATGAAAGGGAGTGATACATCACTGTGTGGTTGCTTCTTATGTACCCTCTGTTGGAGACCTGGCCTGCAACCCAGGCATGTGCCCTGAATAGGAGCCGAACCCGTGAACGTTTGGTTTGCAGGCCAGTGCTCAATCTGAAACCAGAAAAGACACGGGAGCTCATGCTGCCTGTCACTACCAAACCCGATAAGCAGAGACAGGGAGTGAATCTTTATGGACACTTCATTCAGATGGCCATTGATCTGAGAAGACAGCAGGTTCTCACCCTAACACAAAATGTCTTACATTTTCTTTCCAGGCCAGACTTTTATAACAGAGAACAAAGTGTGGTGAGGGGTTTTGAAATTCAGGGAAAATTGATTAAAAAATTGCAACTTTCTTGTCCTGGGCTGTTCCCAGGGGTGGGTGGTCATCTGTCTCTCCCTGGAACACAAAGCCCCCACTTGTCCCCAGGCGTATCTTTAGCAGGGCCCCAGGGGGTGGGCTGTCTCTCCCAGGAGACAGGATGGGCCTTATCTGTAGGTTCTGAAACAAAAGCTTTAACATATGCATTACTTGCTAGGCTTATAACTATTTACCTTAAACTAAAATGTTCCAACTCTTAAGTCCCCTATCAAACCCACTGAGCCACACCAGCTGGGCCCCAGGTCTATATCTTGCATAAGCCAGGTACCTATGTCACAGTTAACAAACCAATATTAATACTTCATTCAGTTTCCCCAAATGTCCCTTTTCCGGCCCAGAACTCTGGGCTGTGACATTTCCTCAGACTTTGTTTGTTTGTTTGCTGGTTTGTTTTCATTCTCACCCAAGGATATGTTGATTATTGAGAGAGAGAGAGAGAGAGAGAGAGAGAGAGAGAGAGAGAGAGAGAGGGAGAGAGAGGGAAACATCCACTGGTTGCCCCCCTTATGCACCCCGACTGGGAATGGAACCATAAGCTAGGTATGAGCCCTACTGGAACTGAACCACAACCTTTGGTGTACAGGATGACGCTGCAACCACTGAACACCCCGGCCAGGGCAAGTCAGTGCAGTTTTCATGTTTTACTTTCTGCTGAGGCATCACCTGTGCACGGAACATACTCGGGCCACAAGAGCCTGGCAACTTCTCACAAACCCAACACTAACACTGTGATTTAATGAGAATGTATATTTGGTCTTCGCCCACATTTCTGGTACAGGATTTCTAAAACACTTGGAGTTTCCTGAGTGATAAGACGGGCAAAGGAGTCTCCGCTGCTCAGAACAAGCCCCGCTCAGCCACACCTGGAACAGGGCTAACAGCCTAGAAGACCCAGGGGTTAGAACAGAGATTTTTCAACTCACAGCACGTGTAAACTAATGACTAAAATTCTGTGGCACACCAAAAGCATATTATATTTTGGCAAAAGGAGGTATAGCTTTAATTCATTCACACCAGACAGGTATTGTGTTAGCTGTTGTCATTTTTTTATTTGACAATCTAAGGGGAAATAGGTCAATGCCCCTGACTACATAGTCAGGTATTGCATGTTTTAAATGTTCTTGCAGTACACTGGTTGAAAATCACTGGGTTAACACTTGCTGGTGTGGCTCAGTGGATTGAGTGCCGCCAGCCTGCGAACCGAGGGGTTGCTGGTTCGATTCCCAGTCAGGGCACAGGCCTGGGTTGCAGGCCAGGTCCCTGGTGGAGGGTGAGCAAGAGGCAACTGCACATTGATGTTACTTTCCCTCCTGTTCTCCCTCCTTTCCCTTCTCTAAAAAATCTTTTAAAAATAAATACATAAAATTCCTTCTCTTTAAAAAAAAAAAAAAAGGAAGAAAGAAAATCACTGGGTTAGAAGGTCGGAACTTTCAGGCCCAACCTGGGAAGGCAGCAGTCTGCCAATAGCTCAACACAAGCTCACGCCCCTGTTCCACGGGAACAGAAGTTCCCACACTCAGAACCCTTCTGGGTCTCATCCCGTGTGTCCCATCATCTGCTGTCAATCTGTGCCCTTCATCACTGCACTGCTTATTATTCTTTATAATGAGCAGGTACGTGTAAATACGCCTTTCCCCAAGGTCTGCGAGCAGTCCTAAGCAAATTAATCAAACCCACGGACAGAACTGTGGAAACCTCCAACTCGCAGACGGTCAGGCGGTCAGTCGGTCAGAAGCACTGGTGCAGCCTGCACTCTTGACTGGCCCCTGGAGTGGGGGCAGTCTGGTGGGGCCTTTCCCCCTCCCCCTCCACCTTTTGTGATGTGCGTTTTCTTCTCTTCTTTTTTAACCCTCAACTGAGGGCATGCGTATTGGTTTTTAGAGAGGGGTTGGGGATATGCCTTTCATATGCGCCCAGACAGGGATCAAACCCACAATGCAGTCATGCACCCTGACCCCAGGGAATCATTCCACAACTTTTTGGTGTACGGGATGAGGCTCCAACCACTGAACAACCCATCCAGGGCAAGTAAGTGCATTTTTAGTGTTTAACTTTCTGCTGAGGCATCACCTGTGCACAGAACACACCCAGGTCACAACAGCCTGATGATGACACCCAACCCGCCAGCTGAGCCACACTGGCCAGGGCTCATGATGTACGTTTTCAAGCAGAGAAGTTGGAAGGTTATACAAGCAACTGTATATCCTGCCTCTAGATTGGTTAACAGTTTGCCATATGTGCCTGACCTACCATATATATAATTTGGAGCCTGACCTACCATATATATAATTTGGGGCCTGAGGTATACTGGCCCTGGCCGGTATGGTGCAAGTGGTTGGAGTGTCATCCTGTAACCAGTAGGCTGTGGGTTCGATCCCTGTCTGGTCACATACGGGAAGCAAGTGATCGATGCTTCTCTCTCACATCAATGTTTCTCTCTCCCTGCCTTTTTTTCTAAAAGGAAAAAAAAAATAAAGTCCTCAGGTGAGGATAAAAAAAATAAGTGATTTCTGGCCCTTGTCCCTACGTTATTTTATTTGCCTCTTGTCCCAGTAATGAAATGAGCCCCCGCCCATCTCCCCGAGAGGCCTTCACTAGAGGTCACGGGAGTCCCACCCAGCTTCCAATTTCCACTGCACTTTTAAAAAATCTTTT